TAACATTTTTGTGGGTCCCAGTCACATAGGAATACCAGGCAATGAACTGGCTGATAGCGCCGCAAAAGAAGCATCCACCATACTTCCTGCACCAGACAATAAAATAGCGCTCTACGATTACAATAACGCAATTTTGAACCAGTGTAGAGAGGCTGGCGATATTGTTGGCAAAGGTTCCTATCACAAACAAAATGAAAAAATGTTTCATGACATGAATCCACTTCCAGAGATTCAAGGAAACCGACGGGAGCAGACCCACACGCCTCAGAATAGGGCACACCAGGCTCACGCATGCATCTACTCGACGGAAGTTCGCCACCAAGATGTCGCAGCTGCGATACAGCTTTAACAATGTTTCACATCTTGGAAAATTGTCCGAGCTTAGATTCATCAAGGACCTCATATCTGCTGTTAGGATATCGACAAGCCATACAACCTGGAAATCAGAAACACCTATACCAATTTTTGAAAAAACACAATTACTACAGACATATTTAAACAATATCATCCTCATAAACGATTCACAACGTAAATTAGAAATAACCTATTCAGTTGTAACAACACGTTCTTTAAACAAAAATACTAACAACATACACATCCAAAATTTTACATACATAAGACATATTGAAATGTAAATCAACAATCAAGATGGTGCCTCTAACCTATAAAGTTGCACAGGCACCTAAAATATAACCAAATAAATAAATAAAATTAATATTGTTTCTATTTATTTTTTGAGTCTTGATAATTTATTCTTGGTTATTAAAATCATTAATACAAAGAGAATTTGATTATAATATGTTTTTAAATATTTGGAAATGTTAATAAAGCAAATTTAACCTTGAATCGGTCTATTGGACATAGCAATTTTATAATGTTTGAAGCAATTTTTACTGAAAGTGTTATTCCATTAATTTTGTCAATATATACAAATGTAACCATTGATTTTATCAAGAAAATGTATTATATAATTTTTATTGAGATTTTAGAGTACTTTAATTTTGTATAGAATGATATTTGCGTCAAACCTAATAGTTGATATATTCACAAAAAACCGAAAAACAAAATCAGTTATTGTCCTTTTTCCCTTTCCCACAAAAAATCTCGACCCGGGAATCATTGGAAATTTTGCCAGCTATTACGAGAAGGATTCTGAACAATGTTTGACGAAATTTAACTTTCATTATTTATTTATTTATTTTTGATGTTCCGGCTGCTTGGTAAAATTACTGTAATAAATACGTAGATACATATATATTTTTTAAAAACGCCCTAATATTTTTGTAGGCCACTATGTGAAAATCAGCCGAATGTTCATAAATTTTCACAACCTCGCTCTGACGACATATTGGGGTTGTATGTCACGCCTACACCCCAATATTTTTGTTGGTCACTATGACCATTAGATTTTACTTATCTTTACGAACCATTAATGCGAAAATCAGCCGGATGTTCATAAATTTATTAATATAAATAAAATTTCAATTTCAATTAAAAATCGAGCTTAAACTACTTAAAATTATTCATAAGTAATACAAAATAGACTCATTCAAAAATATTTAATTTATGTGTGTTGTTATCACAATAAATTAATGTTATGATTAAGCAAGTAAAATATAAATTTAATAATAATAATAATAATAAGGCTTAGCGAACCCGAAGGTTCGATGCCGACACCACCAATCGCTTGTTACACACCTCCCTCCACCGTTCGCCGTCCAAACCCAGTCCCTTCAGATCGGCTTTAATGCAATCTTCCCACCTTCGCTTCGGTCTACCCCTCGGACGCTTACCATTCGGCACAGCAAATATTAACCTTTTAGGAATTCTCTCGTTACTAAGCCCAACAACTTTACAAGCCCATTTGATTCGCCGCGATGAAATTACCTCAATTATATTACCCGGATACAGCTCACGCAATTCGGCGTTGTGTAACCGTCTGAACTCTCCGGTTAACTCATCCTTCTTCGGTCCGAATATTCTACGCAATACTTTATTTTCAAAAACCTTAAGACGCTGCTCATCCCTTAATGTAAGCGGCCAAGTTTCGCATCCATAAAGAACTGTAGGCAAGATAATTGTTTTATAGATTCTAATTTTTAAGTTTCGGGACAAGAGGCGCGAACTAAGTAGTTTTGTCACAGAAAAATAACAAGCATTCCCCCTTCAGTCTAACCTTAATCTCTTCTTCAATTTCGTTTTTTCTAGTTATCGTAGAACCTAGATACCTAAATTTATCTACCTGTTCAAACATATTACCATCTATATCGATATCACCAGTAGTATCGCCATTTTTGCAGCTAACCATATATTTTGTTTTATCCACGTTTATTTCGAGTCCTAGTTCTTTACCGGCTTTCATTAACGTTGTCGTATTTAGTTTTATAGTTTCAACGTCTTCGCTTAACAGTACCAGATCATCAGCATAGCCCAGCACGGATGTTGTCCCGCCCAGATCCAACCCTTTCTCGGTTCGCATTACCTCCCTAATGGCATGTTCTAATGCCAAATTGAACAGGACAGGCGAAAGAGAATCCCCCTGTTTTAAGCCCGAACGAACCTCAAATTTTTCGGACAAATTATTACCGATTCTAACTTTATTGAGTGTCTCCGTCAAGCACATCCTGACTAGATTTACTAGTTTTTTTGGAATCCCCTGCTCGATTAGAATATTATACAGTTTCTGGCGGTCAATAGAATCGTAAGCCTTTTTAAAATCTATATACAGCTGGTGAACAATACCGTTATACTCCAATTTTTTCTCTAATATTTGCCGTAAAGAAAATATTTGATCAATAGTCGAACGATTCCGTCTAAATCCGCATTGGTAGTCTCCGATAATTTCCTCGGCGTATTCCGTGATTCGACTGGTTAAGATTAAAGTGAATATTTTATAACATACCGGAAGGAGTGAAATTCCTCGATAGTTATTACAATCCGTCCTCGGACCCTTTTTGTGAATCGGAATAAGAATAGATTCTTTCCATTCTTCAGGTAATTTCTCGTTCACCCAGATCTTTTTAACCAACCGATGTATTTTAGAAACTCCAGCTTCCCCGCATGCCTTAATTAGTTCAGTAGGAATATTATCGATTCCCGCTGCTTTATATGATTTTAATTTTCCGATAGCTACTTCAACTTCCTCTTTACTTGGTCCTTCTATTAACGGTTCAGCACTCTGGTACTCAGAAGGAGGACACAGATCATAATTTCCCGTATTTAAAATATTGTCAAAGTGGTCCTTAAACTTATTCAATATGTCAACCGGATCGGTCAGAATATTGTTATTATCATCCCTAATTCCAGACGTTACGGGCCCTACATATTTACGTGATCTGTTTATACCTTTGTACATGTCTCTTACGTTATTTTCGATTCTATTAGTTTCTATTTCAATTATTTTATTTTTAAGATACTCCCTTTTTTTATTTTTGAGCAATTTTGTCGTTTCGTTCTTTGAGATTCGGAAGTATTCCAGATTGTCTTCGCTAGGATTATTTAGAGCTTTTAATTTAGCGGCTTTTCTTTTTTCACACATGTTTAAGCAATCTTCATCAAACCACGGTTTGTTATTCTTATTTTCCTTTTTTCCTAGACACGAGTTACCGACCGCTTTAATATTATCCCTGATCTCTCCATAACTTGTCAATATCCTCGTGGTCCTCGTCAGGAAGCTCTAAAGCTTCAAACCTATTCTTAACATCTAGCTCGAATTGGTTTCTAATTGATGGATTTTTTAATTTTTCCAAATTAAAATTCTCAAAATCGAAACGGTTTTCTTTTCTCTTTTTTATATTAAGTTTTTGTCGAAGTTTCGCGATTACTAATTCATGATCCGACCCACATTCTGCTCCGCGATAAGACCGTACATTAATTATACTGCTTTGCCAGCTGTGTTGTATCAAGACATGATCGATTTGATTTCGTGTTTGCGAATCCGGTGATGTCCAAGTATATTTATGAATATCCTTATGTTTAAACGTCGTACTTTTAATTATCAGGTTTTTCGAGATGGCAAAGTTTATCAGACGGATCCCATTATCATTACTATATTCGTGCAAACTTTCTTTACCAATCGTCGGAATATAAACTTCTTCCCTTCCTACCTTTGCGTTCGCGTCACCTACAATTATTTTCATGTAGTTTCGCGGTAGTTTATCATAAACCCATTCGAGTTTATCGTAAAATTCACTTTTGACTTCATCGTCACTGTCTTCGGTCGGACAATGTATGTTTATTAATGCGATTTTAAACCAACGTCCCTGAAATGTAGCTACCGAAATTCTATCACTAAAGAATTGTACGTCCCTCAAAGCGGATAGTAATCTACTCCTAATTAGAAACCCGGTACCTAAACAATGATTCCGCTTCCTCCGTACCAAATAGTGTACTTCCTTCCCTCATCGAGCCCTCCCCTGGCCAGCGAACCTCTTGCAGAGCCACGACATCCAAATTGTACCCATTTACCTCATTCGCGACCGATTTTAGCCCCCCTGCTGTGTTTAAACTCCTTACGTTCCACGTACCAATATTTAAATCCCTATATTTCAACTTGCCATGAATCCCCTAAAGCAGTCCCCACCCGGAGACCCGAACGGGGGACTAGTTTACCTCCGGATAATGAGCGTTTTACCTTAGGGAGATCCATGACTTTTTGTGGTGTTTGGTGAACTAAAGATATGTGAGTAGGGCGTTCAATCCTACGTCACACCCTCCAGCAAGTCTGGTGGGCCCCTACCTCCAGCAAGTCTGGAGGTCCCCTCCCTCCAGCAAGTCTGGAGGGCCCCTCTCATTGTTGGTCAGCGAGTCCATCGGACTTAGCCGGGAGGAACTTCCAAGGAATTTCCACCGACCATCCCCACATCCGCCACCCGTGGGACGCTCCCCATACGCGGTAATGAGCCCGCGCGAGGAAAAATATAAATTTAAATTAGCAATTTCAATTCACTTTAAATCCATTTTTATTCAGAACTTCTCTGTAAACAATATGTTCTTTTTGAACGTTCTTTTATTGTTTAGTTCACAGCCTTGCCCATTGCCATTGAAAATATAAATTTCAACGTAAAACGAGAGTGGAAATTTTCGATTCTGAGCACATTTTTTTTAACCTCTCGCACGAACACAATGCTTCCCTACCTTCGGTAGTGAGGAAGCAAAAAATGTATCTAAAAAAGTTAATGCATAAACGATTTAATGTGATTTCAATTAATAGAAGCAAATATAACTACAAAAATACAGAATTTTATATGAACGTGCTTTGCTTGCTGCCACATATAATTGTCCATGCGAAATTACTGGAAGTCGCAATAATACACACATTATTCCAAAACTTTGACCCTGCGATTTGATTATGGTCATAGAAAATACAGCTATTAATAAGAACGTTGTTCTTTGAAAATCGAATGTAAGGATTGTGTCAGAAAATGTTAAATTAATTCTTGGAATTAAAATTCTTTAATTTAATGTAGCCTCCGTTAGTCCCCACTCTCATTCCTGTTTCATTAACTAATGCTTGTGCAGTATTCAAGTTAAGAATGAGCACAACTATAGAATTTATTTAGAACATTCCAATAGCATTCAATGATATCATATCTTCAACTAATAGTCCAGATTATTTCATTAAATGTAAACTTTTCGATTTATCAATAAACAAAATAATGGAAATCGACTTTGCAAAATAAAACATACTTAATATTTAAAATGATATATCTCTGCAACAAATAGTCCAATTACCATTTATTAATGCATGAAAATTTTGGTTTAAATAACTTGAGCCATATGGAAAGTTCTGACAACTTTTGTTATTCTTTTAAAAAAGTTGAAGGCAGATGATTTGGTTACCATGGATACCAAACCACTCTCTATTAGAATCTTTTTACCTGCTTTTCACTAAATAGCTCATAACTTCTCGTGATTTTCTCTTAATTCAATGTTTGTATGACCGTTAGAAAGCTGAGTTGCTGCTCTTTAAGCCTTTATTAAAAACTTTTATATTTAACGCCCTCATAAGGAATAAATAGAGAAAAACTCCAAACAGGTTTTTATTTTTTATCTCCAAACCTAATATATTTACGAACCTCTGGTTTATGCCATTTCGTGTATATTATAGGGTCCTAAAAGCATAAAAATTTTGGTTTAGATAACTTGAGCCATATGGAAGTTATAACTTTTGTGATTTTTATTTAAAAAATGAAGATTTAACGCAAAACAAATATTTATTTTTCAATTCCAGTGAAAATGTGTAATTGGGGGTTTACCGAGGTGTGAAATACAAATCTCAACTTTCTTTCATTTCGGAGATAATTCTTATCAATTTCGATGATTTATTTTTATTTTGTAGGGAATTTAGAAAGCTTTCAAATAAATATTGGTATCATCAATAAAAAATGTGTATTTTTTGAATTATTTGCAAATAAAATACTGAATTCATCATAAAAATTGATGCAGCTTGTTTTCGGGAAAGTATGTTAAATACATAAATTATAAAGGTTTCAAGGGGATGACTATTTAAAATGAATCTGGCTAACCAAGATTCATTGAAATTGTTGTAGCCGTATTTGCGCTAGTCTAAAGCTTATCATGTTTTTCTGCCACCATTTCGAAAGGAGAGGCCTGATCATAATGAAACGCATACAAAAACACTTCTAAATATTATTGCGACGTTGTGTCAACATTTAAAAGAAATTGGTGAAGAACTTTCGGAGATTAGCCGTTTTGAACAAAACACCATTTATATATTTATTTTCATAGTATTTCATATTTTTATTTATCGATAACACTAAAGCTAGGCAAATGCAAATGCTATTAAACAAAAAAAGAAGGAAGACATTAGGTTGAATAATAGACGAGTAAAAGGGGCTGAACCGTTTTGTGTTTGCCTATTTATATAATGATTATTATTATTATTGGGAATCACTTAAACACTATTTGATATAGGTAATAGGTGTTTTTTTTCTGAAGTAATTATCGTTATTTTTATTTTAAAAAAAAGCTTTTGGGCTATATATATGTATCACTATTAAATAATAAACTCCATTGTCGGATGGCATTAGTGCGAATTAAACTGGTAACTGCTTTGTTTTATCTTCAAACCATATTGTCAACTTAATTCTTTGTTATGCTGTAGTTATTTTTATCATTCTTGACCCTGTGTGGTTGCTATTCGATGATATTGCTACATGTAAATAGTAAAAACATTTGTTGAAGAAAATCTTATGTGATAATTTTGAATATTCCAGTATTTGAAATACACAAAAGATTTCTCAAATGGATAATATGAATAGCTTTGTTGAATATGACTTGTTTTGGAGACGAAGTATTTCTATTTTGAAATTTTAGAGTTTTGGGATTGATTTTTAAATTTGAATTCAGTTAAATATTTTAGTTAATAAATAACGATTATCTGGTTCCAAATTATTTATTAAAATTAACTCTTATTTTTCTTTGTCTGAAATTTCATTATTGGTCTTCAATTAATTTAAAATGAAACCATACACCTGCATCATTAATATATTTCTTCCATAAAACTACACTAATAAGCCATGCTAAAGCTATCGTGGGAAGACTTAGACTTCCTCCGCCGCCTCTTCTTCGTCGAACTCGCCCACTTCGTCCGAAGTCGCCTCCTGGTACTGTTGGTACTCCGCCACCAGATCGTTCATGTTCGACTCAGCTTCTGTGAACTCCATCTCATCCATACCCTCGCCAGTGTACCAATGCAAGAAAGCCTTTCTCCTGAACATGGAAGTGAATTGCTCCGAAACACGTTTAAACAGTTCCATGATAGAGGTGGTATTACCTATAAAGGTTGAGGCCATTTTGAGGCCTCTGGGTGGAATATCGCATACCGCCGTCTTGCAGTTTTTAGGAATCCATTCAACGAAAAAGGAAGAGTTTTTGTTCTGAACGTTCAGCATCTGCTCATCCACCTCCTTCATAGACATTCGGTCCCGGAAGATGGCTGCTACCGTAAGATACCTCCCGTGTCGTGGATCGCACGCTGTCATCATGTTCTTAGCGTCGAACATTTGTTGCACCAGTTCTGGAACCGTTAGTGCCCTGTACTGCTGTGATCCCCTGAGGAATAAAACTTATTTTAATACATGAATACTGTTATAGATTTTATAATTTCTTTTTAAATATATTTTATTCATATATATAACATGCAGATATATATATATATATTGGTTAGAACCATGGCAAATTTAAAGATGAAGAAATGTGAGATTACGTGTGAATAATTTCTAGATGTTAATTTTTAGGTTTGATAAAAGCTCCCAGAGCCTCCTCAGTAGTCAATCTAGGACCTAAAATGCCGTTCGATCCTCAGCGCTTGAAGACGCAACGAAGGAGAACTGTAAGCGTCGTCATGGTAAGATTTGACCATAATTTGGTGTTTGCTTTTAAAATTTACAGTGTGGATAGCTATATTTTAAAAATATCAGATTATCTTATGTAAAAGTATCGTATTTCAGAGAATTTAAGTAAAGTTTGTAATTTAAGTAATATGGTGATCATTAAATATTTTTTGTTTCATTTGCCTGAATTGTTAGTAATTCTTTCTTACAATATCGTGCAGTGCAGTAAACTTCGAAACCTCTGAAGTATCTCCAGTCATAATGACAAAGGAGACGATACAACATTTTCGTATTCCCCTTAAATTTCGTATACAACATAAAACGGAAAATTATTTTTGATTTGAATATCAATCAGCTATAAGTTATTACCGAATCATTTTTTTTTAATTTTATCCATGCATTCTCTTAAATGAGAATTTTGGCTTTCTAGGTACCGAAGGTAGGGAAGCACTGTATTGCACTGTATTCATGCGGAAGGTTAACAAAAATTGTGTGTTCAGAATTGCAAATTTCCACTCGTGTTTTACGTTTTCGACATCAATGATTAAATTTGGTTCGATGTCTGTCTGTCTGCAGTCAAATCGATGTGATGGATATACCACTTAGTATCAATTATGCAATTTTCATGAAATTTTTAGAGATTCAGCGGGTTGATACCAAGATGTTCCAAAATCAATTTTTTAAAATTCAATACAGTACTTCCACCTGCATAAGCGATTTTTTTCGGCTCGTTCGTTTGGCTCAAAGCTAAAAGAAAGGTGGACTTTGGTAAAATAATGATGCCGCTTCGACTTTATTAAATTTCGTCTTCTACTTTCTCATGTATATGCGAACACGTATTTTCTAGAAAACTCTTTATCCCAAAAACCGCACTTTCAATTTGCTCCAAATTTGAAGAGAAGCGAGGGATTGATAATTTAATTTTTTCACAAATGAAAAATTATTGACCTTGAGATATAGGCACCAGTGGAAATGGTGAGAAAGCTATACTGGCCTCACTCAAGAATTGAAACTAAAATAGAACTTTTTATCACGTTTCAAAATATTTCTAACATTTGCATGAATAAAATATTTTACTTTTGGTAGTCAAAGAAAAAAAAATGAATAAGTATATCAGTTGAAAAATTGAACTTTTCTTATTCTTAGATCTATCTAGTCAATCTAACTTATAATAGAATTTGATAGTTTTTTGCGGTGTGAACAACACCGTCACAGGCGGATATACGGGGGAGGGAGAGGGGGGCTTTCGGGCTGAAGCCCCGCCCAAAATGGTAAAATATAATCATGTTTTACAGAAAAAAATATTAAAAACTACCTCTTAAAGTGTTCTTGTTCGTTTAATTACATTTAATAGGACTTCAAGAACCACTTAAACACCACTTCATAGAGGTAGTTAATTTCTTTCTTTTTTTTTTCAAATTAATTATCGTTATATGTATATGAAAAAAAATCTTTCGGGCTGAAGCCCCCTCCTCCCAATATTAAATTCTGGATCCTAGTGAGCACCGTCACCACAAATTAAAATTTATAAGTTTTATTTTCAATACATCTATACTGTTGTAGCTAATAACGTTTTCATTCTCTAATTCTTAATTTACAAACTTGTCAAGACGAGCATATAGTTTTCGCAACACGCACAATTGTTTCTTCAATTGTCAAAAGCCTACAAATATTATATGAACCTTTTAGTTGACAGAATCACTAACTCTAATTCCAACATTTTATATTATTAATTTTAGTGATATTTCTAGAAGGTAAATTTATTCCTTCCTTCACATTACTGTATTACAACACTGCAATATCCTACTCTTTAATAAAGGTATTCATTGTCTGTAAAGATATTATAAATTTTCCAACTAGAAATATCACTAAATTGGCTTTGTTCAAAAATGTTGAAACTGAAGTTGGTCATTCTGTCAACTGAAAGGCTCATTTAACCATGTGAAAGGGGATGTCATGATCTTGTCAGTTATATGTGCTTATATAAGGATATCTGAAAAGACATTTTGATCATGTTTA